ATAATTTTATTGGACATGTTTAAATGTATGATAAAGTAAAATGCGTATGTGAATACAGTTTTTCAACTTAGACTTAATTTAATTTATTCTATAAAAAGGACTTGAATACCATGTATATTACTCTTCTTGAAACTGGTTTTATGATTCTGTGAGGATTAACGGAAAATAAACAGCATCTACCTTCATGTGTATAGTATTATTTATAACAATTTTATTTATAACAATTTTTTATGTAAAAATGTGAAAAATATACTATACAGTTATAAATTTTTATAATTCCTCCAATATTACATTAAGTATTATTCGTTGCATTGCTCATTGCTTATTAAAAATTTAAAAAGAAACTACATTTTCGAGTTTCGTAGTCACGAGTGGTTAATTTTTCGTGATATTTATAGATTATTTGAGATAATATAATTTCATATATCAATAATTTTATAATTCTTAAAAACCTAGAGGATTCGATTGAACACATCCTCCGTGATCACACACGTTTCTCGAAATTTTACTTAATTTAGTAAACACGTCTAACTGCTTACCAGATGAAATTGTTGTTAAGTTTTGTTTCACGCGTTCGGATGCCTAAAATGTAATTGATAAATATTAGTACAACGAGAATATACTAGAAGTAACACTAAAATTGAAACTTGACTAAAAACGTTCTTACTTCAGCACACCATGTCTGAGCCATAGTAATCTCATATTCTGTGCTTGGAAGATTTTTATTGGCAGCCATCGTTGCTCTGCTCAATACAATAGCCATGGTGTATGTATCAAAAGCTACTTGTGCAATTCTATTAAGCACAAATTGTTCATCTACAATTCCACGTCCATATTTGATGAGACTAGATTCTATGCTTTGACCAAAAGCTTCTATACCCTATAAAGGAATTATTGATTAGTAACGCCTAGCTTAAATTACTGATAATCGAGGCTACCAACAGTCTGCAGACAAATTGACAGCTAGAAATATTAGGCATTAACATTATAAATAAATGTAAACCTTAGTGCATAGTGTAGCACTTTCTTCCAGTTTAGGATGAACTAAGTGTGTAAGGCTAGGTGCTAGTCCTAAGCCAATCGCTCGCGTTGCTCTCTTCGTTGCTTCCTCAAAAATTAATCCTAAATTAGCAGTGGGATTTTTAAAAGCTTTTTGTAATTCTTTCAAATGACTGCCAGCATGCTGAATTCCAGTCAGTGCGACAAAGAGACGGAGGATGTCGTTAGTTCCTTCAAAAATTCTGAAGATACGTAGATCTCGCATAACACGTTCAAGGCAAGTGTCTCTCATGTATCCCATTCCACCCAATATTTGGATAGCTTCATCGCAAACCCACCATGCAGAATCCGATGCAAAACACTATGAAAAAATAATATATTAAATTTTACAGAATTTTCAGTATAGTAAAGTAATGTAATCAATTTTTCTTTTGTTAAATAAATTATACTTTAGAGATTGCTGCTTCTAGATGGTAGTCCTGACTTCCACTATCCATATTACCAGAAATTGTGTATGCAAGAGATTCAGTTACATATTGTAACATTGCCATACGAGCCAATTTCTCTTGGATACTTCCATAATTATCAATTGTGCGTCCAAATTGTACACGTTGTGTTGCGTGATCGGTAGCTTTCTTAATACAATAACGCATGGTTCCAGCAAGAGCAGATGCCATACCAAATCTACCATTGTTTAAAATAGTCATTGCAACCTAAAACAACATATAAAGATGACAATTTTATCTGGGCTTTTTTTATTGTTGATTGAAACAATTAATACCTTAAAGCCTTGACCTTCTCCACTTAGAATATTTTCTGCAGGTATTTTAACATCTTCAAAATGTACTTCAGTTGTATTACTACATTTAATACCCATCTTCTTTTCTGGTGGCCCACTTGTTACGCCACCAAATGATCTTTCAACAATAAAAGCAGCAACTTTATCCTGTACTTCTCCTGTTTTTGGGTCCTTTGTTGGAACTTGTGCAAACACAGTCAGTATTTCTGCTAAACCACCATTTGATATCCAAATCTTGCTTCCATTTAATATATAATGTGATCCATCATCAGATTTAACTGCTCGAGAACGAATTGAACCAGCATCTGAACCACAACTTGGTTCAGTTAAACAAAATGCTGCCATATTTCCGTTGCAAACCTTTGGAAGATACTTCTTCTTCTGTTCTGGTGTACCAAATAGGAGTATACCCTGTGTTTTAAAAATACATTTAGAAACGATTTTTAAAACAATTAAAATGGTAATATAATAAATTCTAATGCTTCATTATTACACACAAATCTATTTTAAGTCAGAATTAAAATTTTAGAGCTCATGTAAGGAAATATGATTAATATTAAATGTTCATATCTTTTTAATTAATAAAAATAATAACTTTTCTATTCCTTCGTTATTAAAATTTGTCTTACTTGTCTCAATTTGAGTGCTTCTACTCAAATATAGTTTAATGAGATAATGTTTAATAATGAGAAAGCTTTGCAATAGCACAAACTTCCTCATTTACCTAATACATACCTTAAAACCTATACTTTGATGTGCTCCTAAGGTAATGCCAATACCTAAATCATGGTATCCACAAACTTCAACGCATCTGCAATATTGAGTATTATTTAATCCTAAACCACCATATTCTTCTGGAACCTGAAGAGCAAATGCTCCTGTTTCCCACATTGTAGACATTGTCTTTTCATCTATATATGCATTTTCATCATTCTTCATTGGATCATTTACTTCCTTAAAGCATAGATATAAAAAAAATTAATTCCTAAATCAGTAAAACATTTTTCTTCTATTTCTAAACATTAATACCTCGAAGAACTTTTCAAAAGGATCAATTAAAAGTTTTAATGTGTCAAGCTGGTCTTCATTTAATACTTCTGGGAAAGGAAATACTTGGCTAGGTTGTAGTTGGCCTCTGAAGATGTTCATAGTAAATGATTGTGATTCCTTTGTTGATGCATTTTTCTGTGCTTTTTCTTTTGGTGCATTTTTTGCAACTGCTTGTGTTGCTAAACATCTGAAACAAATAAAACCTTAATAAGTTAATTTTCACAACTAATAACTAAATTATTTGGGCTTATACAAATTTGCAATTTGAGTTATCTACTAAAATTACAAATTTGTGTTACTGCAAAAATAAATATAAGTAATTCATAGTTTACCAGTAATCAATTCAAATTTAGTGTGTATTGTGTTGAATCTAAATCTTTGCAACAAAAAATAAATATCTATTGTATTTAATGTCGATCATTAAAATCTGAAAGTCATTGTATATAAATTTTTGTTTACATATACAATTAGTCAACATATAGAAATATTCCTTTACCTTCCTATATCTTCTTAAAAAAATTAATTAATTAAATATCATTATTTGTACATATCACTAGATCAAAGTCCATTCTATTGATAGACTAAATGTCAACATATATAACTAACATCTGAATTGACAACTTTAAAAATTGAAGCTGATAATATTTTTTATTAATGTTAAAATTGAAATAATAATCACAATTGTTAACAATTGAATACATGCAACAGGTTGTATTATTGATGATATTCAAAACATAGAATTTCCATAACATTAA